TTTGAACAGACAGTTGATTTCGTCTCCTCCAAACCCAAGTTAAATGGTGGATGGACGCAAAAGCTACGCTTTGGCAGCACCGAGAGAAGACATTTTACGGCAGAGGAGGTTATGCATTGCGCAGGAGCCAATGAAATGACCTAGACTGGAGTCTGTAGAATCATGTCACAAATACGCCATGTTCCTTCCTCTGTCTGACAGTGAAAGTGCCAACACTGGAGCGAAACAGAGTAAATTAAACTAACAATAATTAAGCTTCGACTGAAGAACTCATTCCTCGCGGTGTGCAGTAAACTAGTGTTATACACGTTGTATTACGAAGCCTGTGTGGATATAGGACATGGGTCGCTCAGCACTGAACAGCTCTAGTGTACATATGTGGGTGCGGACATCAGTGGTTAATCCTTCATACTAAAGCTGAAGCGCACTTTGACACAGATTCACTGATCTTTTTGACTGCCAATCCGATACCAGCTCACATGCGGCGCAAGCACTTATCTGTTCTCTCTCTCTTCGAGCTTCCACATCAGCGTTCAACGTCTTATCGCTCGTCCACACTTACTTTTGCGTTGGGGCTCTGCTATTGATGTTTTTTGGTTCTGTCCTCAAAACTGTGGTCATATATTCTGCTCGCTCCATCCTGTTTGTGTTGGACTGGTTTCTCTTTTTGTTTTTTAGTTTTGCAACAAAATTAGCTCTGTGTGGGACGTTCTATTTGTTTTTTGTATTATAGAGGTTGTGGATGTTGGCTGTTCTCATACGTTCTTTTTATTGGGACGTAGATGTAAACGTACTATTGTCAGTTCATATTTCAGCAACAGATTAATTGTGTATGGACTAGGTAACGCTACAATTGGATTAATAATTCATATTTAGATTGTTTTGTTGCAGTTGTTTGATTTCATTTTGGTTGCTTGCGGGAGGAGATACTCTTCGTTTTGAGTTTACATAACTAGTTAATTATTTAACAATTGTGATTTTGTATTCACCGATTATTCGCTCGAATTTTTTGGTGTGATCTTGGCTCGAGATCATTACTAAGTGATCGTATATCAAGGATCGTGATTTATACAGGTTAAGTAAGATTTTATACTTTATATTAATTTTTATTTTATTTCTAGTAGAAAGTGTGGGGAAGGTATTTCGTTTGATGTTATATTGTCTCAGGATCACTCGCCAATAAAGATAATTGGGAAGTGCATTATTGTGATCGAGTACATTTTTACTAGATTTCTCGAGTCACTAATGTATCAAATTATACTTTAGACGGTTTATTACGATCGCTATATTCACATATATATTTGTTACAACTACTATGACTATAATCTTCTTGTGAACATCTCAATTGTCTATTTTTGATAAGAAGCTAAGTACATCTAGTCGTAAGAGTAGTAATATTGTCCTTTATCCTGTAGATACGTAACGATTTCGCTTATCCGCAATTGTAAATCGTGTAGGTTGGGTCATTGTGGGGATTGAGAGTGTGTTTTTTGTATGACTTGATAGTTGTAGAGAGATGTAAAAGGTGTTTTTTCTCTTATAGAGTGGATCTAGACACTCTGAGTGAGAGTGAACGTTATTATATAATAGCGTGATATAGAAGATATATAAACTCGCATCAATGAAGAAGGAGACTTATCTGTGATGTGAAATTATAGTACGCTCCCATATAGAAATATCTATGCATATACCAAGTTACTTTTCTTTTTAATCGCATAATTAGATAAGATTGCGAAAATAATAAATTACCATATGTTAATAAAGTTTTTTTGAATAGAATATGATATATGGTTTTATTTACAGGTATCAAGTGTTTAGATATGTAATTCAAGTATTTTTTTTAACCCAATCCATTGGTTTAAAGTTTTATGTATATAGCAGTTGGATAGTTTTATAAGAGAATATTATTCTCCCATTGTTATCTAGATACGATAACGTGCGGTGTAGAAGAGTTTTTATGGAATATCGTGGTATATATTACATTATTGAAATATTGGTTGTATATCTAGGTATGGATATTTTTGTCGTATCAGAGTTCTCAAACATCATGTTCAGTTTAAAAATTTAGACGCTAAGTAGGAGGTTAAATAGGAGACACAAAACCTGAAGGTTATAGACACACTTTTTCGTTACACCCTGAACGTTGTGTATTAATATTAATATATTATGCTCATCCATAATTACATGTTTCATCTTTTAAAAACCAGCCTATGTAACTACTAGCTTGATTTCGATGTTAGAGAGAGTTGAATTTAACTTGGGAGTTGAGCTTATAAGGGCTGGAGGTCTGGAGCAAGCACTTACTCAGTTTATTTAAGTTCTGAGGAACGTAATGGTGTGTCGCACAGTATAGGTGAGTTAGTGTGCTGATATGTAGAGAAGTCATCAGACATATAGTTAATAAGAAGAAATGAGTGTATCTGGTTAGGATCTTTAATAGATGCGAGTGATGTTGGGGTCACCCGTCTACACACTCAGTCCAGTAAACTTATAAACTGCTTGAAGCGGATAAAGCTCGATTTGGCAGATCAGTACGTAAATTCTTTTTAGCGAAGATATACACGACACTAATGCATTTCTTTCGAAGCCTCTCTCATTCTTAAAGATACTCCTGTTTCGAGCTCGTTAATCTGTGTTTTCACTGATTCTCCATGTATATCTCTTTTCCTCCAAGTTTTCTTTTCAGATCTGTATTTTCTATTGTGCCATCAATTTCCCTGATTTATTATGCCTTATCATGTCATCCATATGTTCGACGTCATTATATTAGAGGTCTTTTTTTCCGGAATGAACTCTCTCTTTTGTCACTACGGCATTATTGATTAGCTTAATCGATATATACTCGAGTATATATTGCAATGTTTGTTGCTCGCTTATAAACAAAAGTTCTTTTTTCTACATCTCCTAATTTTGTACAACGTATGCTAAGAGAGAGACATCAGCGCCACGATTAACGTCCATCTCTCAGTCTTATTGTTAGTGTTGTTAGCGTCTACGTTTCATGATGGTGTATTCTAACTCTTGGCTTAGGAACCCGTCAAGGGCGTGGTCTCCTAGTAACGGGCTAAAGCTCCATTGAGGGTATAAATTGGAAAACTCGCGTTATTTGTCTCCAACATTGCTTTATGTTCTGTACTCATTGTGTGTTTGTATATATTAAATTATTTAGAGAGAGGGTCGGTCATATTGTAGAGAGAGAGATTGATTTAATTGTGATTTTTTGAATCACCCAATTATGCTTTATATAGTAGTAGGACTCCTTAGGATTCTATTTAATGGACTACCTAAATAAGATATGATACTTTCAAGATTCCCTAGGATTTACACATCACAATTTATTTCCTAATAGACCGCAACACTCCCTTTGAGTTGGTAAATTACACATCGCATTGAATTTCGAGAATATGTAGAATGAGTTTGATGAAGTCATCGCAACAACGGTGATCGCGAGTCTCAAATTTTAAGTGAAGTAATGCATTTGTAATAAAACTTTATATTAGTTTTATTTTTTAATTCTGTAGATTGTAATGAACTGGCTATTCTGTTGATCCAATTGATTTCAATCAATTCCGCCAAAAAGAAAAAGGGGGAGTAGTAATATTGTACCAGAAGAAAACATTTCTAAGATAGAATTAGCCTCGGAGTTCAAGAAATAGATCAGGAGATTAAAAGAATCTTAGAACAGGATAGGATGAGCATTAAAAGATGGATCCTAGCTATAAGAAACCATTATGCTGCTTCAGAATTAGGAGACATAAGATAAGAACTTTATAGGATCATTGAAAGACTTGATGAGTCTAACCCAAATGCCCAAATCAATAAGAAACTAGAGACCCTTTAGGATCAAATAAAAACAATCATAGACTCCGTGATCCATATTACTATGAGTCAATGAGTTTGACCATTTTATCTACTTTCGTAGATAATTGTTTAAGCAGTTCGCCTTGATCTGCTTGATTTGTTGACGAGGATGCTTCATCAGTGTTCTTTAGTTGTAAATGGGCTCAGTAAACATATTTAGAATGTGTAAAGAATATTTTTTTTAATTGAATGTGTTTTCAGCTTATGATGTTTTTTTGTTGAAAAAGTAGATATTATGGTTACTGCTTTTTTTTATCACCTTCAATGGTTTTTTTTTACAATGAATTGCCACTTTTGGTGTGGTTGTGATGGATGAATGTTTATTTCTAATGTGAAATGAAAAAAGAAGGAAAAACTGTATAACTCTAATCAGATATCCATTAAAAAGATAACAAATCGCATTACAGATTAACGCATGTTAAAATTGTGGTCAAGCAAAAATATGAATGCAATGTTTCTGATAGATGGTCTAGCATAGTCATTTAATGGTTGTCAAGGTTGACAGTTTGTCTTAGTGTATAAGAGTACATCCTATATGAGGGAATAACACAAACATACCATGTGCTATCAATGTTATATGATAGCAAAAATAAAAACTTTAGAAGGCACTTCTATTTTTATTTTTTTCATGTTTCAGTTTGAAAACATATGGATTGCTTCGCATTGATACAGAGTTATTACCCCATACCCATTCTATATTCTCTCCCTGATTCCCATACCCATTCTATGTTTGGATTAAGATCACATAAAGTTTTAAATTCAACAAATATCTGATGCTCCAGTCTTTAAACCTTTAGAAATTGCGAGATCAACTTGAATAACTATTTTTTATATTATTTTTTAGATTACTGTTTATTTTCACTAATTATTAATCAACAAATGTAGAATTGACTGTGTAAATCCGTAATATTTATACTTTACCTGGTTAACACTTTGGTAATAAATGCAGTGTGTTCTTTAATGGATTTGTTATCATCCCTTCATTGTTAATATCGTTTGGTATCTTGCAGATAGAAGCAAAGTGAAAACTTTTGATTGTGGAATTCCATTAGCATTTTGAAAGTTGTGTGCTTTCCATATGTTTTTTTCTCTGATCATGTTCAATTGATCATTGCAGTTGAAAGAATTGACGGCTAAGTTTACTAATAAAGCAAAGACTGAGCCATGGTGAGACACAAGCTTTCGTTACACCCTGCAAACTGGTGGTAAGATTTGAAAATTAATATGGTATTCCTATATTTTTGTTTCTTTTTCATTTCAGTTATTATCCTAGCTGATTTCAGTAGAGTTTGATTACTGGTTGGAGCTATAAGTTCTTTGAGCTGTTTTACCAATTAAAATTTGGGACTTTAAGGACATGTTCCAAGTCATGGTTTAAACCAAAGATTAGAGATAGTCTCGACATATGCTTAATTGAAGTGATGTACTTTTAAGCTTTAAGCAGATGTTCCAAGTCATCGTCTAATTTAACCATGCATGCTTAGCATCATCCAATATAACTGATTGAAGGATTAAAATGTTCTGATTTGGTGTAGGTAGTCTTGGTTTAGCAATTGGCAGCGAGATTACACTCCTCACTACGTTGTAAATTCGACTGACTCATTCTATAAGAATTGTTTCAGTTTGTGTTTACGGTTTCCATTCAATGTAATCCCTCTTCTCAGTTTCTTTTCAGAAATTGATTTCTATTCCAATTTCGCAATGTTTATATTTTCACCATGTTGGAAGTTTATGGGTCTTTTTAGTAATGAATCTTCTTCCTTATAGGTAATGGATCATCTATTATATATAATATGAACTGAATTTGTTTCCTTCATAAACAATATATGAAATTCTTTTTCTATTTCTCTCCTAATTTCAGTCAACTATGCTAAACAAAATGAAAACAAGCCCATCAGATTAACGAAGTCCAATCCTACTCATTGTTCCTTATTGTAGATAGTGTTGTAAGTACATTTTCCACATGTATGTAAATAGTATGGCATATCATATATTCATTTAAAACTTTCTACATGTTTTGTACAGTTTGAAAACCCGCAGCACCGCGCGGGCACTCTTGCTAGTAACGGGCTAAAGCTCCAATTAGGGGTAAAATTGGAAAACCGTTCAGTTATTTTGCTTGGGCCAATTTTAATGGGCTATTTAGATATTAGGTTTTTTCTTAACCATTAAATAAAGTTGTTAGTGTTGTAGGCCTATTTGATTGAACGATCTAGGGTTTAGAGAGAGGGGTTCGGCAATATTGAGAGAGAAGAGAGATTGATTTAATTGTGAGTTGTGTTTGATTCACCCCATTATGCCTTTATTTATAGTAGTAGGAACCTTTCCCTTTAGGATTACAATATTTAATAGGTAATCTAATCCTAATAAGAATATAAGATACTTTCCCAGATTCCCTAGGATTTACACAATCACATTTATATTCTAAATATGACTGCAACACTCCCCCTTGAGTGTGTAAATACTCAACAAACCATCGCATTAGATTTTCAGCAGATAATGTAGAATAGTTGATGAAGTCATCGGCACAACGGGTGATCGCGAGTCTCAATTTTAAGTGAAGTATGCATTTGTAATAAAACTCACAAAACCTCGCTATGGTAAAACTCAAGGCATGGGGAAAACCCATAGACTAAGGAGAAAGGTGAGAAGTATGCATAATGTCTAAAACGAATGTCAAACTGGACGAAGGTAGTAAACTCAACGGAGTATGATCATCCCAGGATGGGTGCCTCATTAAAACCTCGTGAGGTAGCAAAAACCCAGTGGGAAAAAAGGCTCCTAATCGTAGGAAAAAAAAGTACATTAAGATCATTTGAGTATGCTGCTAGATACTTCCCTTGGGTTAGACATAACTTGGGGTTAGACATAACTTCTAAATAAGAGAACTACAAGCGATTCAACTCAAATAATTTACGCATACCGATTCCTTGGACGAGCTTCTAAAATGTAGACTTGGGTAATAACTTGGTAAAGAAATCGGCCAAGTTGTCCTGAGAACGGATTTGCTTAACTTCAATGTTCTGATGATGCTGCTGCTGGTGTGAGTAAAAGAATTTCGGCGCTATGTGCTTGGTGTTGTCTGCCTTGATGTATCCCTTTTTCAGCTGCTCGATACATGCTGCATTGTCTTTAAAGATCGTCATAGGAAGGTCAATTACTGATGTAAGACCACTAGTGCTTCGAATATGTTCCATAACTTCTCTCAGATAAAAGCATTCACGCGATGCTTCATGTAGGGCAAGAATCTCAGCATGGTTAGACGAAGTCGCAACTAACGTTTGCTTGGTAGACCTCCAAGATATAGCGGTGTCTCCAACGATAAAGACATAACCCGTTTAAGAACGTGCTCTATGTGGATCAGACAAAGGAGGCGGCAGCACTTGGAGATTCGTAGGTATAGAACAAACTCAAACCCCTAGTACCTTTGAGGTAACGGAAAATGTCTTTAACACCATTCCAGTGCCTGCATATGGGCACATTGCTGTATCTAGCCAATAGATTCACAACGGAGGAGATTTCAGGTCTAGTGCACTGAGCCAAGTACAATAAAGCCCCAATTGCACTTAGGTAAGAAACTTCGGGTTCCAAAATCTCTTCCTCATCCTCATTTGGACGAAAAGGATCTCGTTTAGTATCTAGAGTTCGAACGACCATGGGTGTACTCGAAGGCTTCGCTTTATCCTTATTAAAATGTCGCAACACCTTTTGGGTGTAGTTCAATTGATGTACTAGGATTCCATCCAAACAATGCTCGATCTCCAGGCCGAGACAGTATCAAGTTTTCCCAAGATCCTTCATCTCAAATTTCGATTTCAAGTGTGTAGCAATTTCCTCAAGCTCTGCGAAAGTCCCAATGAGGTTCATGTCATCGACATAAACTGCAACGATTGCAAATCTGGAATGTGACTTCTTTATGAACATGCATGGGCATAGTTCGTTGTTCACATAACCCTGACTTGTCAAATATTCACTCAGATGGTTATACCACATCCGCCCGGATTGTTTTAATCCGTAGAGTGACCTCTTCAACCTAATTGAGAGAATATTCTGTGGTTTAGAACTATTTGAACAATTCAATGGAAGTCCTTCTGGAACTTTCATATAAATTTTCGTATTTAGATCCCCATAGAAATACGTGATTACCACGTCCATAAGTTGCATATTCAATTTTTCGAAAACTACCAAACTGATTAGGTAGCAGAACGTTATAACGTCCATTACGGGGGAATACGTCTCCTCGTAATCAATTCCTGGGTGCTGAGAGAAGCCTTATGCTACGAGACGTGCTTTGTATCGCACTATTTCATTCTTCTCATTATGCTTCCTCATGAAAACCCACTTGTAGCCAACGAGCTTCACCTGTGGTGGTGTAGGAATGATGTCTAAGTACCTTACATTTCGCGAGCGAATCGAGTTCAACTTGGATTGCTTGTTTCTAGTTTGACCAATCGATTCTACGTTGGCATTCATCGACGAAACATGGTTCAATGTCATCGCTAAGCATGATGTCAGTAGCTACTAAGTATGTGAATGCATCGTCGACGATCATCCCATTCTTATTCCAAACCTCATCCAATATTGTGTAGTGGACGGAAATCTCGCGATTCTCAAAAGGCCAGCATGTTTCATCTGAAGCATCACCATAATGTAGAATAACCTCATGCGTTGGAATAGATGAGTGAGCGATGGTCGGATTCAAACTAAGGTCACTAATTGGTGCCATTTTCCTCTTCCGAGGTTGTGAATCCTTTGAACCAAGGGGTCTGCCACGCTTCAGGGTTGGAACAGATGATTGGCTAACCGCCAATGTACCTTGCCGTGTATAGGGTGCGGCCTCCCCATCTTCGACGACGGTCCAGCCTTCCCATTCGGTTGTTGACGTACATGGGGTACATCTATCCTTGTAGGTGTGTTTGTAGCGGGTATGTGTGATCTTGTCACCTTTGCTAGATCATTAAAAACATCCAGCATGCTTTGAACAATGTTCTGAAGATCTATAATTCGATGCACCTCAGTTTCAGACTGGGCAGTGCGGGGATCTAAATAAGACATAGTGGGAGTATACCACGACAATTCGCGGCGTTCTACGGGAACGTTAGCATGCTTATCTCCTCCTAACGACGGGAAGATTGTCTCATCAAAGTGACAATCCGTAAAACGTGCAATAAAGAGATCTCCTGTCAAGGGTTCTAAGTAGCGAACAATTGATGGCGAATCATAACCGACATAGATTCTCATTTTTCTCTGAAGACCCATTTTGGTACGTAGCGGCGGATCTATTGGCACATAAATGGCGCACCCAAACACCCGTAAATGTGAAATGTCAGGCACGTATCTAGTGACCAACTATAACGATGAATGTGGTTGGGTAGCGGTGGGCCTCAGGCAGACCAACATAGTTGCGTGCAATATTACATAGCCCCAGGCAGATACCGGCAATTTGGTTTTCATAACCAAAGTCCGAGCTGTCAATTGAAGGCGCTTTATGAAAGCTTCTACTAGGCCGTTTTAGGTGTGAACATGGGGCACAGGGTGTTCCACATTAATTCCTACTGACATGCAATAATCGTCAAAAGTCTGTGACGTAAACTCTCCAGCGTTATTCAGTCGAATTGACTTGATCGGATAATCAGAGTGGTGAGCCCTTAGCTTAATGATTTGAGCTAGCAGTTTAGCAAATGCAGGGTTGTGTGTGGACAACAAGCAAACATGTGACCATCTTGTTGATGTATCAACCAACACCATAAAATATTTAAATGGTTTGCAGGTTGGTTAGATTGGTCCACAAATGTCCCCTTGAATCCTTTGAAGAAATTTAGGGGGTTCGTGAATAATCTTTGTATATGAGGGTTGAGTATTCAACTTTCCTAAAGAACACGCTTTGCATGGTGGGAGTCCAACATAGGGATGTAACTTATGCCCATGTGAAGATTTGAGGATACGGCGCATCCAGTCACGTCCAGGATGTCCCAAATGATCATGCCAAAGCAACAAAGTGTCTGGGAACTCAGGCATAGGGCAGACCATACTATGGGCTTCTATGCCGCGAATGGTTGTGATGTACAACCCATTCGACAAGCGTTCTAACTTCTCGTGAATATGCTTCTGGCCATATTCATACGAAATGATACAAAGAAATTCAGAACCATGATCTTCAGTGGTTTCAAGATGATATTTATTATCTCGAATATCTCTAAAACTCAGCAACGTTCTTCTGGAACGTGGAGAATAGAGTGCCTCTTGGTCAGAATTGTACCATTAGACAACATGATACGTACCTTTCTGTATCATTCAATCAGGTTAAATGGACCTGAGAGAGTTGTCAAAGGATCTTTCTTGGGTATTAAGTTAGTAAAATAATATCGTTCAAGCAAGATGGTATGTGTGGTTGCACTATCTGCCAAACAACTAACTTCCCCACTAGACATACCTAGAAATAAATTGATTGAATTGGTCACATGTATAAATATAAGTCCATTCATTCAATTAAGCAATTCAAGAAAATAATATCCATTCAAATAACAATCCATAATTCAAAACAAACCAAAACCAAACAAATTATTCCAAATACATAGAAAAATTGTTCAAAATTAAACCATAAACCTAGCCAAATAGGGGGTAGGGCCGGCCACTCCTAGTGGATTCGGCCACTAGGGATAAACACCCTAAAAACATGTCTAATTTATTCATCCATAGGTGCTAACTCCTCTTGGAAATTCGATATCTCCATTGATGTAGTTGCATCTTCCGGATGATCCACATGTGCAAAGTTAGACTCACGACGAGAATGATATTTGGCAATAGCCTTAGGGGAAGCTCGGCATATGCGTGACCAATGATCCCTTGATAGTTCAGTAGAAGCAGCCTGAACAGGAGCTTTGCCTTTGTTCTTGAAGTTTGGGACCTTATAGGCAAGTGGTGGACACTGCTGGGTCACATTTCTTCCCTTAGGTGCGGCACTCTGTTGACTTTGGGCCTGTGGTTGGGCTTGCCGACCATTGCCATGGCTACGACGGATCTTTCTTCGTTTAGAGCACCTCCAGCGGGGGAGGTTGCTCGGGGGCTGTGGATCAAACAGTAGCAAATTGATGGGGGGATGAGCTCCAGCGTATGGAAGCC